AAGCTCAAGTAGTTGTTAAAAAAGGGTCACGTCCTCTTTCGTAGATCGAGATTGATTTTTCAAATTATGTTTGCTATGAGATTTATTTATCCACTTATTATTTTTCAAAGCGCCGGAAGGCAAGAGAAGAAACGATGGATGGAAACTAACCGAGAGAGAGAGACGCAACCTGGAATTAAGGGGAAACTTCCCAACAGTGAGGACAATGAACCAGTGGAAGAGAAGTTGCCTTCAGAAGTCGTGGGTGCTTCATCACTGGAGGTTTTTAAGAAGAGATTGTTGGACAACCACTTGTCTCAAATTGTGTAGGGTCTCCTGCTTGAGGAGGAGGCTGGACTAGAAGACCTCCAAGGTCCCTTCCAGATATATTCTGATTGAATCCTTGGAAAGTCACAACATTTTTCTACCATCCCCCCCCCCCCTCTCCAAAGTGATCTCATTTCTCCAAGGGATTTCTTTCATTTCTTCTCCAAAATGAATCACAAATCCCCACCCCTTTATTCCTAATTCCAAATCCCTTCGAAGAACAAGGAAATAATTCCTCACCGTTCTACCTGAGGCTGGTTCTGCTAAATCACGTTTTCCTTCAAGCAGGTTCATCTCAAGATCACCGTTGCTTCTAGCGAAGGAACTCCCTTCCCAAAAACATCCACTCGTCTTCAAGATGCCTCTCTCCCTCTAACCCATGACTTCATTCTCACAATTGTTTCACTCTGGTTATTCTTTCCTCTGTCTTTTTGGCAGTTGGTTCTAAAATACCCACCCCCTCAAGATTTCTGATTCCCCCCCAAGGTTCCTTACTTCTGTCGTTTTTGGAGGAAACTCTTTGGATTTCGGAAAGCAGCTTCAATGGATCATCTTCTGAAGGACATCCTGGATTAGCTCCTTTTGAGGCTTCTCAATATCTCTTGAACTTCCACGGGAGGACGGTTTAGGTCAGGGGTCTGCAACCTGCGGCTCTGGAGCCGCATGTGGCTCTTTCATCCCTCTGCTGTGGCTCTCTGGTGCTCAAAATATGCGTCACAACCGCCAATGTACGACACCCGCCGGTACGTGATTTATTGAGCTTCTTGGCCCATCTTTTTTTTCCGGAGTTCAAAATGTTTTTGTTGCATGCAGAAATAAAAATTTGTTTTCTCTGTAGCAGTTCATTTATTTCATAAATGCAACACACTATAGTTTTTTTCTATACATAGTATAAAGGTTAAAAAAAATGATATATGCAGTTTTATCTTCATTTTAGATGTCAAAAGGGTTTTGTGGCTCCCGGTGTTTTCTTTTCTGTGGGAAATGAGTCCAAATGGCTCTTTTGAGTGTTTAAGGTTGCCGACCCTTGATTTAGATTGTCAGTCTTCTACCTTGTTTCTCCCAAAATAAGACATCCCCTGATAATAAGCCCAATCGGGCTTTTGAGCGCATGGCAATAAGGCCAAGGGCTTATTTCAGGGTTCAAAAAAATATAAGACAGGGTCTTATTTTCGGGGAAACACGGTACAATTTTCCTTCTGATAATAAGACTCATTTCCTAGATTTAGTACTCCACTTCAGAAGGGTTTGGCATAGCAAGTTTCACTAGAAATCATCCCTGGATGGTACATCTACACATTGACAGGAAGCTATTTCCAAGCCTAAGGAGTTTTTTTCCTGAATACAGCACCTCAGAGAGAGAGAGGCGAAGATCATCCAGAAATCAAGCAAGCAGGAGGCCCTTTGATCTTTGCAGGATGTCTTCCTGAAGACTTTCCTTTTGGTCATGTTCCGTGCACAAAGTCTCAGAAATATATTCAGCTGCCATGAGACAGTCCTGTTCCCTCTCATCTATGCCCTGTGGGAGCATTCTCATTATTTGGTGGTGGGGGGAAAAGAGGACAGGGGCTCTTCGATTTGAGAAAGACCACCCTCTCTTGAGGTAGTCTTTTCCAAAGGAGTCACTTATCGAGGTACTCCTCACATGATCTTTGATAGTCTTCCATGTTTTTCCTTGGAGCAGCTACTACAATTTCTCAGGATCAGGAGTGGTAGTAGAATCCTGTATTTAATAATGTATAACTATTATTCTTCTCTTCCTTACTAGTATCTATCTCTTCCCACTTATGACTATAACCATGTTGCTTGTATCTTTCAATTTATATTTTTTTTATTTGTTTCCTAGTACGATTTGATAGCTTATAAGTAACCTTGACTATCACTAAGTGTTGTATCTTTTTATTCTTGATGAATGCATTTTATTCTCCTTATGTACACTGAGGGCATATACACCAAAGACAAATTCCTTGTGTGCCCAATCACACTTGGCCAATAAAGAATTCTATTCTATTTATTATTACCTTTTAAGAAAAAAACACAGAGGCTACCACCATTGCAAAAAAAAAAGCTCCTTACAAGTGCAGCACCCACAGATTCAAATGTCATTCCAGGTTTCACATCACCAAGCATCGAAAAGCCACAAACAACCATTTTTAAAGCCTTAGCAGTAGCAATAGTAAGAAAGCAAAGGCAGTACCGATAGTGACAGGTGCCTTGGCTGCCTTCCCAAAACAACCGGACCAACCCTTGAATACCTTCGACATTGACAGAATCTCCATCGATCAATTGCAAAAGGCAATTTGGATGAGCTTATATTCTTTTAACACCCTTAAGACATTTGCCGATCTCAGATCCTTGGAAAAGAATCGAAAGGTGGATTAAAAACACCAAATTCAGTCGGAACATCTGGTTGACTGATACATAAAACATGTACGCTCCCCGATTCTCAAAAATCCCGGGTGGCTCACAACAACCCAGCCAAGAAATTACAATAAAACATAAACAAGAAAGAAAGAAAGAAAAAGAATAAAGTTTCTCAGGTCTACTTAAGAGTTGTGATAGGGCTCCGCGTACCTAGGAAAGAGTGCTAGGTAGAAAAGCCACTCATCCTCTCTCCCGTCTACCTTGGGATGGATGCCTTTGAATCTACTGCCCAGGAGAGGAATCTTCCCCGGATAATCTTATCATTGGATCCACAGAGATCTCTGAAAAGATCTGAAGCAGCGTTCACGAGCCCGAGGAGACTCAGAAGTCTTCTTCCAAAGCCAGCAGAGCTCCACACACCTTTGGTTGGGGGGCACCTCTGCACTAAGCAATCTGCATGGGGGGGCCCCCTTTCAGAGTCTGCACCCCCTGGCTGTCCCAAAGCTGCTTCCCCCCCCCCCAAAAAAGGCAACTGGATTTCCTTGGCTTTTGACCTTCGGGACAACCTGGATGACGGAGAATCCCCACAGACGCCCCCCTTACTGTTTTCTCTCGCACCCTGACCCTGAGACACCCCCTCCACACACACACACACATTCCGGGGGGGGGTCTCTCTGCCCTTCCACCTGCAACCCCATGCCCAGGGCCAGGTGGGCAGCAGAGCCAGTCTGTCTGCAGCATCACTGCAGTCCCAACTTGGAGGGGTCTGTGTGTGTGTCACAGCATTGCAGGCGAGGGGGCCCCCCCCAAAAAAGCCGTTGGGGTGCCCTGCCTGATTCCCTACTCCCCCACCCCAATTTAGGGTCCCAAATGTGGGGCAGGGTCTGGGGGAGGCAAATTGAAGAGCAGGATCTCCCCCAAGCCAAGGGGGATCCCCTGACTGAATCTCTGCTACCCCCAATTTCAGAGCCCAAACGGTGGGGAGGGTCTGGGGGAGGCATATTGAAGAGCAGGATTCCCCCCTAAAGCCATGGGGATCCCCTTACTTAAACCGTGCTTCCACCCACCCCCCAATTTAGGGTCCCAAACGGTGGGGAGGGTTTGGGGGAGGCATATTGAAGAGCAAGAGCCCCCCCAACAAAGCCATGGGGATCCCCTTACTAATTCCATGCTTCCTCCCACCCCCCAATTTAGGGTCCCAAATGCGGGGCAGGATGGGGGGGCATACTGAAGAGCAATAGCCCCCCCCAAAGCCATGGGGATCCCCTTACTTAATCCCTGCTTACCCCCCAGCCCCAATTTAGGGTCCCAAATGTGGGGCAGGGTGGGGGGGGGATACTGAAGAACAGAATTCCCCTGACTGAATCCCTGCTTCCCCCAACTTCAGATCCCAAACGGTGGGGAGGGTCTGGGGGTTGAAGAACAAGATTCCGCCCCCTGTCCCAAAGCCATGGGGATCCCCTTACTTAAAACGTGCTTCCTCCCACTCCCCAAATTTAGGCTCCCAAATGTGGGCAGAGTCCTGGGGGGCATACTGAAGAGCAAGAGCTCCCCCACCCAAAGCCATGGGGATCCCCTTACTTAATCCCTGCTTCCCCCCAGTCCCCCCCCCATTTAGGGTCCCAAATGTGGGGCAGAGTCGGGGGGGGAAACATACTGAAGAGCAAGAGCCCCCCCACCAAAGCCATGGGATCCCCTTATTGATTCCCTGCTTCCCCCCCCCAGCTTCCCCCAATTTAGGGCCATGGGGATCCTTTTACTTAATCCCTGCTTTCCCCCCCCCAGCCCCCCCAATTTAGGGTCCCAAATGTGGGGCAGAGTCGGGGGGGGGAACATACTGAAGAGCAAGAGCCCCCCCCCGAAAGCCATGGGGATCCCCTTACTTAATCCCTGCTTTTCCCCCAGCCCCATTTAGGGTCCCAAATGTGGGGCAGGGTGGGGGGGGATACTGAAGAGCAGAGAACCCCCCCCCACCAAAGCCATGGGGATCCCCTTACTAATTCCCTGCTTCCCCCCCAGGTTCCCCCAATTTAGGGCCATGGGGATCCTCTTAATCCCTGCTTCCCCCCCAACCCCCTCCCTCAATTTAGGGTCCCAAATGTGGGGCAGGAGGCAGATTGAAGCGCAGGGTCTCCCCCCCCTCAGCCCCCTTGCGCAGAGGGAAGCCCCCCCAACCGCCCCCTAAGTCCCAGATTCTCACGTTCTTCTGCCCCTTTCGGGGGGGGACGCCCCGTCCCGCTCCTCCCCCCCCACAGACGCCCCCCCCCCCCCCACCCCCGACACGTGTCTCCGGCAACCCCCCCGTTCCCACGACCTTCCCGCTCTCTCACCTCGCTGCGCGTGATGCGGTGCCGGCCCAGCTTGACCACGGCGAAGTTGCCCTTGCCCAGCGTGCCCTCGATCTCGTAGAAGCCGACGCGCACCGGCACCGAAGAGCCTCGGGGCGGTTGAGGCTGAGGCGGCGACGACGACGACGACGGCGGCGGCGGCGGCGGGGGTTGTAGGAGCAGAGCGGCGGCGGCCGGAGGAAGCCGCCGGGGCTCGGCCATCACCATGCTGCCCGGGTCGGCTCCAGCGCCTCACCCGCCGCCGCCACCGCCGCCGTCGCCGCCAAGGACGGAGAGCCGCTGAGGGAGCCGGAGGACGCGGGGACGCGCACGCGCGCTCCCTCACCCTCCTTCCCTCTCCTCTCTCTCCTCTTTCGGACGCCCCGCCCCTCGCGCGTCACCACGGGCGGAGCGCGTCGCCCCGGCAACCGCCGCGCGCCGCCAATCCGGACGCTCGGCTCGAGGGGGCGGAGCCGCTCCCGCCAAAAAAAAAAAAAAAAAAGCACAACACCTCAGCGGGAGGAGACATTACCCATCATGCCCCGCGCGAGGCAGCCCTTCGCGCGGGGCTCGGGTCGTGAGGGGAACCGCTTTCCCTTTTTTTTTCTTTCTTTCTTTTTTTCTTTCTCTCTTTTCCCCCTCCCCGGTTTCGATCTGGGTAGGGGGTCGTCTGAGAAAGCCTTCTCTCCCTTCTTGAGCTGCCCCCTCTTTTCCGTTTGGTTTGGGTCGATGACACGCGTCCTCTGGATGCGCGTTCCCACGTGCACGGCTAAGCTTCTTTCCCTTTCCCCCCCCCCCCACTTGGATCGGATCTTTCTCTCTCCCGGGCTCGGATCACTAGAGCGGGTCGTTCGGCTCGTGCGACCCGCTCTAGCGATCCGAGCCCGGGAGAGAGAAAGAAGCTGATGATGTTGGTTTGGTCTCAAACCAGTGCTGTGGAGTCGGAGTCGAGGAGTCGGAGGAAATTTTGGGTACCTGGAGTCGGAGTCGGAGTCGGAAGTACAAAAAACTGAGGAGTCGGAGTCGGAACACTTATCTCCCGACTCCATAGCCCTGACAGTGCTGTGGAGCCGGAGTCGAGGAGTCGGAGTCGGAGGAAATTTTGGGTACCTGGAGTCGGAGTCGGAGTCGGAGTCGGAGTCGGAAGTACAAAAAACTGAGGAGTCGGAGTCGGAACACTTATCTCCCGACTCAATAGCCCTGATAGTGCTGTGGAGCCGGAGTCGAGGAGTCGGAGGAAAATTTTGGGTACCTGGAGTCGGAGTCGGAGTCGGAAGTACAAAAAAACTGAGGAGTTGGAGTCGGAACACTTATCTCCCGACTCCACAGCCCTGTCGCAAACCAGGATTTGTTTTAAACTAGGATGGGTTTGAATCAAAAGCAAGGGGCTGGGCTAAGACCACATAGGATGGCAACCCCCCTCTCCCAAATCTGCCCCCCCCAAAAATCAGACATTCACACTGCAAGATCTGCTAATTGGATTGGCATTACAGGGAGTCCTTGACTTCGCAACCGTTTGTTTTAATTAATGATTGGTTTAATAATTTCGTTTAAATTCTGGTCCGAATGATGGACTCCCTGTAATGTGTCAGTTTTAATTCCAGATCGGGTAGCTTTGGGTCTGAGCTTTAGATACAGATTAACAGAGTTGGAAGGGACCTTGGAGGTCATCTAGTCTAACCCTTCGCTCAAGCGGGAGACCCTACCCCATTTCTGACAGATGGCAGTCCGGTCTCTTCTTGAAACCCTCCAGCGATGAAGCTCACACAATTTCTGAATAACAGAATAATAACAGAATAACGGAGTTGGGAGGGACCTTGTAGGTCATCTAGTCCAACCCCCCCGCCCAAGCAGTAGACCCTACCCCATTTCTGACAGATGGCAGTCCGGTCTCTTCTTGAAACCCTCCAGCGATGAAGCTCACACAATTTCTGAATAACAGAATAATAACAGAATAACGGAGTTGGGAGGGACCTTGTAGGTCATTAGTCCAACCCCCCCGCCCAAGCAGTAGACCCTACCCCATTTCTGACCGATGGCAGTCCATTCTCTTCTTGAAAGCCTCCAGTGATGAAGCTCCCACAACTTCCGAAAGCAACTTCTGTTCCATCAGCTAACTGTTCTCACTGTCAGAAAATTACTCCTTATTTCTAGGTTGAATCTCTCCTTGCTCAGTTTCCATCCATTATTCCTTGTCTGGCCTTCGGGTGCCTTGGAAAATAGCTTGACCCTCTTCCTTCTCTCTGTGGCAGCCCTTCAAATATTGGAAGACTCATGTCTCCCCTGGTCCTTCTCTTCACTAGACTAGACATACCCAGTTCCTGCAACGTTCATCTTATGTTTTAGCCTCCAGTCCCCTAATCACCTTTGTTGCTCTTCTCTGCACTCTTTCTAGAGTCGTCCTCCTGCAGGAATACAACCTTTGGATCTCTTGGCATCTAAAGAGCCTGTCAATATGAACTTAAATGCAAGCAAAGGAAAGATCACGCACAGGTCTTGAAATTAGGAATTGACCTGCCTGCTTTATCTCCACGTGGGAATGTTTTCAAGGTGCATCTGCGAAGCCACCTTGCTAAAGACATTCGAATGAATGGATGAAGATAGAGATTCTCAGTCATCCAAAGGTGCTTTTGCAAGAGGCAACTGAATAACAGAACCACAGAGTTGGAAGGGACCTTGTAGGTCATCTAGTCCAACCCCCACCGAAGCAAGAGAACTCTACAGTCGTGATGATGAGCCTATGGCAAGCGTGCCAGAGATGGCACACAGCGACCTCTCTGATGACACTAGAGCCATCATTCCAGTTCAGCTCTGCTGTGCATTCGCACACACCTCCCACCAGCCAGCTGGTCGCAGGGGTGGGGCACATGCGCGGGGGTGTGCGTGCATTGGATTTTGGGGGTTTGGGCGCATGCTTTGGGCACTTGGTCCGGAAAAAGTTAGCCATCACTGCCCTACACCATTTCTGACAAAGTGTTGTGGCCCGCCAGTGGCCTGCGCGGATCGTGGCTGATCCCGACGAGGAGGTTGGTGTGGGGTCGCGCCAGCAGCCTGCACAGCCGGCGCTCGCGTCGGACGCGAGGAGGCTGAAGAGGATGTGGTGCCAGAGGCAGAGACTCAGCCTGGGCCTTCAGAACTTCCAGAGGCTCCTTCAAATGGAGAGAGTGAAGTGGAGGAGCCTCTCCTCAATGCTCAAGCACGCAGGGCTGCCAAAAGGCAGGAGTGGCTACTCAGGAGGAGGAGGTCTCCTTGAGAGTAAGGTTTGAGGATAATTGGCCACTCCCTTAGCCTATTTAAGTCTCACGCAGTCAGTAATTTCTTGCTGGAAACAACGTGTAATTATTACAGAGCATTTTGGAGAGTGAGTGTCTTATCGTATCTTGTTTTCTGGGCAGGTTGCCAACCTTTGCCGGACTTTGTTTATTCTTGGTACGTTATAACTTTGATAAGGACCGTTGGTGTATATCACAATTGTTGGGAATCCAGAGCTGGGGCAGAATACAAATGGCAGTCCAGTGTCTTCTTGAAAGCTCCCAGTGATGAAGCTCCCACAACTTCCATTGGCAACTTCTGTTCCATTGGTTGATTGTTCACGCCCGACTTTTTCAAGAGGCAACTGGACGTTCTGGTTTTCCTTTGAAAACGTTTCGTTTCTCATCTGAGAAGCGTCTTCAAAGAAAAGACGCTTTGGGATAGAATAAATTGAATTTGCATCTTGCATAGATGCAACTATGTAACTTCAATGGCATTGCAAATTACTATTTGTAGTGTGTAATTTTAGGATGTGACCGAGTTGTGAAGTTCAGGAAAAGGATTACAGTGGTTTAGTTACGTTTGCTGAATTGCTAAATTGTGCCCGAACTTTCCAACCCTGTGGACCATAGCACATTAGCCCCCCTGACTTCCAGAATTTTCCTAATTTCACGTTCATTGCGTTGATGACACTATCCAACCATCTCATCCTCTGGAGCCCCATTCTTTGGCTTTCCATCTTTCCCAACATCAGTATCTTCTCCAAGAAATCCTCTCTTCTCATCTGGTGGCCAATGTATCTGAGCTTCAGCTTCATTTTGAATAGAAATAATAGAAATAACAGAATAGAGAGAATAGAATAGAATAGAAGTGGAAGGGGCCTTGGAGGTCTTCTAGTCCAGCCAGGGGTGAAATTCAGCAGGTTCTGGTGAACCGGTAGCGGAAATTTTGAGCAGTTTGGAGAATCGGTAGCAGAAATTTTGAGCAGTTCGACGAACCGGTAGCGGAAATTTTGAGCAGTTTGAAGAACCGGCAAATACCACCTCTGGCTAGGTCCAGGAGTGGGACGGGAATGGAGATTTTGCAGTATGCTATGCCCACCAAGCCACGCCCACCAAGCCACACCACGCCCACCAAGCTACGCTCACAGAACCGGTAGTAAAAAAAATCTGGATTTCATCACTCCAAGGGACTTTGAAGTCTTCTCCAACACCGCAATTCGACAGCATCAATTCTTCGGCGTGTTTATTTACAGACAATACAGATTTCCGAACGAAGGCATCCTAGGCTTACATCATAGCACATAACTTATGTGCCCCTCCATCCATCCTGTCTTGATTTAATGGGAGGGAAGCAGACATTGGCCAAAGGGAATGGTTGCCTAACGAAGCAAGCCTGTCTCTGAGGTGCCGCTGTTCTTTTTTGATCTTCCGCGCGATCCTATAATTCACAAAAACAATTAAAGGGCTTTCAGCCTCGGCGACTCTCACTCGGGTGATTGCAAAACTCTTCCCAATTATATAGTAACGCGAAGGCAGTTGGTGACTTGGGACTTGGCTTGTAACTAAAGATTAGCTGGGGATTCTTCCGTTTAAGCAAAGTAAAATCCCAACAGAATGGGAGAGACACATTAAGTATAGATTGGGCTCAGTGGTGAAATCTAAAATTTGTTACTACCGGTTCTCTGGGCGAGGCTTGGTGGTGGGGGTAATGTGACTGGGTGGGTGTGGACAACTTTTTTTTTTTTTACTTTTAAAAGCATTTTTTCTACAACCTCTTCGGCTTTAAAATGCTTTTAAAAGCCTCTGACGATCCCAGCTGAGCCGCACGATCATCAGAGGCTTTTTTTTTTTTTTTTTTTTAAAAGCATTTTTTCGGCTGAAGAGGTTGTAGAAAAAATGCTTTTAAAAATAATTTAAAAAGCCTCTGATGATTGCACGACTCAGTTGAACATGGGTGGGGGGGGAGGGATTTTTGCTACCGGTTCTCCGAACCACCCGCCTCCATCGCTACCAGGATCGGGCGATCCG